TATACCTGAAACTAATATAATATTGTACATCAACTGTAACTGAAAAATAAAAAAATGATGTAAAAATCCCAAAGGGCCCTAGAGGATACTACAAAGCCACTTTTGACTGTCTATTCATATAACATATATTTTATTTTACTAATGCTCTTAACAAAACCATCTCTTTTTCAAAACTGAGGAAATAGAGGTTCAGAGTGATGTTAAATTTTCCTAGGTCACACAGCTAGTTCTGGGGCCAGTGACTCAAGCCCAAATATATTTGAGTCTAAAACCCTATATTATGTCTACTATAGTATCAGAAGTAACCAGGATAACATTCAACATCATACGGTTCAGAGTAGGGGCCTCAAATGTAGGCCCCAAATATAGTACAAACTGACAATTGTGAGATGAAGAACATTTTGGTGCTGAAGTGGCACACACAGTCAAATTAGATCAGCAACATAATGTTGGTGACCAAACATCCACTAACTCTTGTGGGACAAAAATGTGTGAAAGCAAAACAATGACATAATCCCTCCATTCTTCCAAAAATGATAGCCATTTGTTAAACAAATGCTATAAAAAGTAACTAATTTAAGTTATAGCAAGTGTGACTTAAGATAAGGAAGAATTTCTTTACAGTGTTAGAGTAACATTATTATTGTAGGGTCCAAAGAAAGAAAATAAAATCTCCTTCGCTGAAGGTCTGTAAAAATAGGATGTTTTCAACAGGTTGCCCAAAGGTAAGGAGTTGGCTTAATGAGGCTCATCAGCCCTTTGATCCCTGGGATAATGAAATTTTTCAGAAAGCAGATATGCTATATAAGCTACATATGCTATATAAAACTATCAACAGATTTTCCTATTGAAAATCAATTGTTGCATCTTGAAGTTAACGTCTTTTCAGACATTTGCAAAATTTGAAGATACTCTGTGTTCTCATCCTAAATCTTACCTTCTTCCTCCAATAACCCTTTAAAAAAATAATTTCCAAAAGGTTGGTTCCAAAATGACACGTCTTTGGAATTGTAACAGTTTGTGTCTTTGTGTCTTCAGACTTGAGCTGAAGACTTGAGTTGAAGTCAATAAAAGACTGATGTGGGTAGGAGATGACAGTACTGAAATAGAAGTCTAGAACATTGCTTCTTGCCCTAGCTTTCCTATTTATGGGCTCCCTTTACTTTAGCTCTCCTAATTTCCAAGAGGAGTCACTTCCTCATCAATAAAACAAGGGTGTCAGATTAGATATTTTGCAAGGTAATACCTTCACATTAAAAAAATCTGATGCATCTATAAAAGTCAGGAGTCTGGCAGAAAATTTCAGAAGCATTGGGAAGTAAAGGAAAAACAAGTATTAGCAAAGACATTGTGGACATGTGAGATGAGCTGTTTCTTTCCAAAAATACTCATCTTCTCTTTTTTCTTTCGTATTGCATACCATACCCCACAATGCACTGACTTCTTCTGCAATTTGTTATGCTCAATTCAACAAATATTGTTTGAGCAATGATATGTACAAGATTTGAGGCTCACCTCATTATTCCACTATGGATTCAGGCCTTGTTAACTAACGTGAATTTAGAATTTATCTCTGAGGAGGGTGTACAAAGCAAGATGTGTGACCCTGTTTACACTTTGGTCAGGGATGATCAATGCTTAATGAGATGGGTCAACCAAGACTTTTAAAAAAACAGAGTGTAAGATCAAAGATAATAAGGAAGTGAATATTAAAGGAGAAACCAGAGGAGAAGTGGACTGAACCCACTGAACAGTTACAGCGTTCTGTTCTCCTCTCCCCTCGTTTTTTTTTAAACTCCTGCCTTTTGGGAAAAAGATATATAAAATCTTATGAAATGTGTTCTCGCTTATTATGAAGTCAATGGACTTTTGTTTGGCCATCAAGCCCTTGGGCTTTGATTTCCATGCAGAGTTCATTCTACCTCTGCTCTTACAAAGCTAAAAAAGCATGGAATCATTCCTGGATGAAATGTCGTTATCCATTTGCTTTAGGTTTCAGGAATGTGCAAATATAAAACCACTACAGAATATTTTTTTAATGTGGACCAATGTTTAAGAAATTATTTAAATGTGTAGGATGGAGGCAATTCATGAGTTTATGTTTGGTACTTCTGTCATATCCCTTCCTTGTATTTTTCTTAACTCTCTTTGTCCTTTTGGATTTCTCCTCTTAGGCATCCAGCATGCTAGTTCTCACTGTTCTTCATGGGCATCAAACCTACTGTCAAAAAGAAAATTTCATATCAGCTCTTTACAGCTTAGTGTGAATTTAGTCCAGTGGATTTCCTATCCCAGGGGTATATGCACTGTAAACCTGCAAGTAGAGGGAAAATCCTTCCTAATGGAAAGTCAACAGGGACTTTCCAGTACATTTCACACATCAGAAACTATAGCCCACTTGGCCTTAAACTTGGGTTGGACCTGGGCATATTCACCTTGGCATATATTAGCATTCAGTGCTCCATACCCTCTAGTTTAAATTGAGTCCGGTGACTCAAGTAAATGGGAGTGTGGGTGCCAACACCCAAATTCTAACAATATTTGAGTAACGCAGTTCATGTGCAAAGTTAGAGTCACTTTTCCTTGTTTTCTATTTATTCCTGTTAGTTAATTTCTCTGATGTCTGCCTGCCGTATTAGACTGCAGCTCTTCCAGGACAGGTACCACATCTCACGCAATTCTGGATCTCTAGGCCCAACATAGTGTCTGGCTTATTGAAAACAGTTCCAAGCAAATCAGATTCCTGGAGTTCAAATCTTCCAAGAGCTGCATTTCCCTAAGATGACATGCCCGTTTCTCCTACCGCAAGGATCTTTCCCTCTAATCTCATAGAATACCAACAGTAAAGGAAAAGCTAACCCAGCCTGCCATAGGACAAACTCCACTCAATCCAAAAAATTGTTAAGAGAATTTCAGAGCCTGTAATATGCTACAGTTGGAACCAGAGATAGAGGAATTGCCTCTGGATGTAGGCATGGGGAACATTATATTCTTCATGGTTGTAGAACAGAAAGGCCTTCATGGAACAAGAGAAAAAACTGGTTTTATTTCATCAGTGAGAAATGCCAGGTATATACTATGGTAAATGCCACTCAAAGCCCAGAGGGTTAGCTGGAGCAGCTGATGCCCTGAGCTGCTTTTTATAACTCTACTTCCCTGTACCACGCTCTACATATGTCCCATTTCATCAGGTCACGTCAGTTTAGGCTGTGCCCACTACTGCATCTCACACCAAACACATCACTGTGTGAAATATTTTGTTTCCTTAAAAACTTTTATAAAAATAAAAGTGAAATTTTTAAAAAACAAAATAGAGGAATTTCCTGATTCTTTGTGCAAGCAGTGACTTTGCTACTTTTTACAGATAGGCAGCCTCTTTTGTTCCACAAAACCTCAGTGCCGTTAGCCATCAGCAAGCTGTGAAGTGACTAGGTTAAGAATGGAGTGTACAGCACAGACCTAAATGGTATATAGGGTTGTGAAATGAGGTTCTAACGGTGGTGACTCTCTAAACTTGTGAAAATTATTTGCGAAGATACTAGCTGTCCACTTTTTGTGGTAATAATATTGGAGAGCAAGGAAGAATTGTATAAATGATCTTAAAAATGTCAGTATTAGGGAGGGAAGGAGGGAGGGGGCAAGGGAAAGTGGTGGGGGGAGGCAGAGACAAATGTATTTGAAAAAAATTAAAATAAAATAAGAAAAATAAAGGTAAATAAGATGTTAAAAAATGTCAATATTTATTCAATGTATTAGATATCTCTAATATACAATACATTGCCTAGGGCATTTGGGAGGGGTTACAAAAGATGCAAAGTCCAGATATTTTGGCTTTAAAGAACTCACTAATTAGAAAGAATGTTAATTTAAAAATACAGACAGCCATTATTTTATTTATTGATAACATCCCTTGTGCGATATACTGTGAAGCATTTTTAGGTACTCTATTTCGGGGGTCAGCAAACCATGGCTAAAGGGTCATATGCAGTCCACTGCCTGTTCTTGTACATAAAGTCTTACTGAGATGCAGCCACACCCAGTTGTTTCACTCTTGTCCCTGGCTGCTTTTGTGCTACAGTGGCACAGTTGAGTGGTTGTGAGAGTTGGGACTGTCTGGCCTTCAAAGCTAAAACACTTAGTATCTAGTCCTTTACACAAAAAAGTATTTGCTCTATAGCATCCATTCTCACATGGATAGTCAGAGATAAATATGGTGTTCCCCATTTTACAGTTAAGGTAGCTGAGGGTTATAAGTTATGTTACTTAGTAAGCAGTGAAGTTTGGATTTGGTTTTAGATTTGTTTTATTCCAGAAATCTGTGTTTTTATGTACAGAAATAGCCAAACTCTGAGATAGGAAGAAATAAGAGCTTTATAGCTTCACAGAGGAACTGTTACTAGAATTCAGGAAAGAGAGATTATTTTTAGCCTGGAGTGATAAAGATTCTGGAGGTCATATTCGAATATAAAAGCAAAAATTAATCTTAGGAGTTGTGTATCACAAGCTCGAGCCCAAGGAAAGTTCAGAGATCAAGTTCACATGTTTAGTTAGAAAGAGAGCTGGGATTAGAACCAGTTTTCCACTCACCCAGCTGAAAATATGCTGTCAGTGACCATGCTGATCAGTTGAATTTCTGTGTGTGGGTGTTAAATGTTATGGAATGGCAGAATCATTTGAAATGAGACTTTGTACATTATGTTCAATGATCATTGAATTAAGGGCCTCTACTTCCTTTACTGACTCAATCAAAAACACATTTGTGCAGGTATTTACACAATACCATAACCCATCCACCATCCTACCAAATACATTTTTGTTGTAGAGAATCATACTTCTGAGACCATGGCAACCTCTGACACTCTCACCAGCTTTGAGATTCAAGTGCTAAACAAAAGACCCCAAAAGTCAAATATTCAGATACATCTTGCCATGTGGGATTAGGCATTTATAGGCCAGGAGAAAAATGGAGAAGCGAACAGGTGCAGCCAAAGGAAGCTTACCTGATACTGTAAAGCACTTTGCCATTTTTTGAAATCCGAAGCAATTTGTTGTCGGTGGTGACATCATGGAAGTTGGCACCCTTCTCATTGGCAAAGAACAAATCTGGTTTCCAAATGGAGTCCAGCATCGATGGGTCTAAGTCCAGGGAATCATCGGGGTACTCGCTATATGCCAACCGAGAGTCATTCCACTGTTGTCTCAGAAAAATGTTCACTCGGTAATCCTACAGAAATGCCATGCACAAGAGTTACTTATCACCCATTCTGGCCTACGAGGTCCACTTACATTTCTCCCTCATTCTTCCCTGATTCGGTGATGTCTGAGTAAACCAGGCCATGTACACCTTGGTCAAAAACAAACCACTCAGCTCTGTTCAGAGTGTGAACAGAGGGGAGAAAAAAAGAAGGCTCGACCAAACCAGGTTGACTTGGTTGAATTTTTATGTTTAAATTATTCATTCTGGGAGGAAGTAATACCAACTCAAGCTGATTTTAATGATGAGTACAGAAGTCAGTCTGTGATGACAGATTGTCAAATAAAGGTGATTCATTTTCCAAATCAAAAATGACATGATCTCTTTCCTCATTGTGCTCAGATTCTCTGCGCAGAAGCAAACCCATTTTGTACTTTTGGTAGTGAAAATCTTATTGTAAGACTCTTACATAATGGGGTAATATTATTAAATTCATCGATGTAAATATTAAACTGCTTCGTGTTGACAAGATAATTCCCTCACAGCTACTTATTTTTGAAATTCTTAAATATTTTATCATTTCTCTGAAGGGGTTGTATCTACAGTAGTCAACTTGATGCTTCATCAAAATAGAGATCTTTTTCATGATCTGCTAATCTGAGCACCTTCTGACAGAGGTGGTCCTCCCTGTGGGAGCCTCAGGTACACTGTATTCCCACTTGGTCTGGTAATTTCCTTCTGTGCTAATGAATCAGCTTGGGGAAGTGGCTGGTCTCCTGGGGATTTCTATGCAAAGGTCTTTAGGTTCATGAAAACTGTTGCTTCACTTGACAGAGTGGATCCCAGCAGGGGTTTCAACAGCATTTCCTAGTCAAGTGGGACTATAGTTTAGAGCTAATGGTTGTCCATTCCTGCCACTTGTGGCCATTTAGTGTAACACATACTCATTCCTTCTTCCACTTTTTCCTTTACTTTTTTTACTCTTATTTGCTCTTTTTCCATATCTTTGGCACCTGGATTTTTTGTAATTGTTTACATTCCTCTAATGGTGAGCAGTTTGCCCTACTTTGCCTGAGAACTTCCCAGTTTCAGCCCCCAAATTTCCACATTCAGGGAACCCACTCAGTCCCAGACAAAATTGGGATGTCTAGTTACTCTACCAGGTATAATGGAAACCACCTCAAGATGGTCAATTTTGGCTAATTACTGTTAAGGACAAAAGGAAAAAAAATGACTAAGTTATAAAGATCAGGGTATATGGAAGAGTTTCAATCCAGTTCCTTCTATATATCACTAAACTATCTAAATTCCCATGACTTCTTTTCAAATACAGCCATCCTGATGATTAGGCTGATAGAGTATTTTGAAGGTGGTAGTTTTTGCAGAGAGTGTCCTATGAAGTTGGCCTAAAGAATGATAATAATCAAATAGTTACTAACTTCTGAAAATCAGTCCTCAAACCCAGCTCATTAAGAAAGGCTGAAATATTTTTAAAAATATACTTAAGGTTCTCAATTGTACAACCTAAGAACTTTCTGACTTGGAAAATGTTATTAGCTGACTTTTATTTGAGATTATACCAGGACTTGCACAGCAAATTCTCAGATGGAAGAGGGCACTATTGTGGGCCCAGCCCTTCTTCCATCCCATCCTGTGCGCACACCGCCCACAGCAGATGAGCCAAAGGACAGGCAAAACTTCAATGTTTTCCCCATCATGTACTTCGGAATTGTCCAAAGGGACTAGAAGGTTGTAACTAGAAAGAGATTACCAGGTCTATGTTTCCTTGGCAACAAGAGTTACTGGAAGCTTTGGAGTTTTGTGTAAGTAAAGAGTGGAAGGTATGATTTGTGGAAAATCAAGAACAGGGCTATTGAAAACATAATAATTCAATATAAGTATGCACTAGATACATCAGCTGTGAGATTTTTTAAGGTTTCCTTGGGGGTGGGGGAATGCAGTTTCTCCACTGTTTGGCATCCACTCCTTTTATTTCCCCTAGAGTGAGAACCAGTTTTCTGTAACAATTTTTTGGCGATGCGGGGTATATGAGCTTGTTTCAGTAGGAAGTAGGAGAGAAGGGGACCTCATCCCTTAACCAATCCTGGAGGTAGAGGAACTCTGCGTACAGGAACATAGCGACAGCTGGAGATAACAGAAGTGAATGGGTTAGATATTTTAGGCTGTCAGGAGGCCAGCAAGGTGCCCCCAGGAAGTAATCATAGGTTGAGGGAGGCCATAACAAGCCATCTGGAGAGTACTGGGTGGCAAAACCACTAAGAGAAGTCATTGCAATCCTCCCCTGAACCTGAGAACTATTTAAAGATGCATATTGAGAGGCTCTGGACAATATAACATTAGTGACATATGATATGAAACCATTTGACCTTTTAAAAATATCTCAATATACATTTTCCCAGCTAATGACATGTTTTTGAAGTCTTTCCTGGTTTTCTTATTTTATAATTTTATATAGAGAGAAAACAATAAAATATATTTTCTCAGTATTAGAACTTTAAAAAGATCATCGACTCTATCATATCACAGTAGAACCATTAAATGTCCAAGAGTTCATTTGAAATAAATTAATCCTCCTATTTGTAAGTAAAGATAAGTGGGAAACTAAGAGGAGAAAATATATTTTATGCCACAATTACAGGAATGATATTAAGCAAGGTCTTTATTCGATCTTTTGGAAGTATTTGTAATATATCAGAATTGAATTGTCCATAATTTTGTTTATTATGACATACATTATTCTCAAATAAAAACGACCCTTAAAACCTATGGGAATAGAAGAGGACACTGAAGGGTCTGGAGAAGTAGACAGCCCAAGTCAAGACTTCCTGAGGCTGTGCCTCTGCAATGTTTGCAGTTCGCTCTCATTTTCAGTGTAGGGGAGAAAATGACATGTGTGATTTATCCGTCCATCATCTCTGTTTATTTACAGATAGGCTTATTCTCTCATGATGTCCCAAACCACAGGAGGTAGTTCTATTGTTCTGTAGCCTTTCTTTGTTTTTATTTTTGCTTCTAGGTTTAATGAGATACTAAGGGGGAAGTAAATATTGAGAGACATGCTTAATTTTCTTTTGCTCTGTCATCTCTCCCCGGAGACAGATTCTACTTCAAATACTTCCTTATATTAAAATTTGTTTTCTTATGATTGATTATCTGTGTATTGGGTTAGGTAATGGAAACATTCATATTAAAAAATATATATGTATATATGTGTGTATTTATAAAGACAAACACACATATCTTATTTTTCAAAAGCTGTGTGTAAGTCATATAATCTTTATTACCTATGTTATTAACATAGGCAATACAGCTACCTTCATTCCATACTACTATTTCCTATAAAATCGAGAATTTCAACAGTTTCACTTTTTCTGGTAACTTCTAATACTATGCGCATGTCAGAAAGATTTTTTTCCTTAAATTGGATTGTACTATTATATTTAGTCTGGCATTTGTATGTAGAGAGTGCCACTCTGCCACGCATACATACTGTTACTCTTATTATTTTTATGTGCATACATTTTAATCCAATTATATTATAATGTTATCAAAGGCAAGAGAATGCTCTGTTGATTCCCCTCAGTGCCTATGTGTCACTTTGGTTTTGACCTCTGACTGTACAGCAGTACAGTTTCCATCATCTTGAGTCTTCGCTAGCTTCGCTATAGGAAGTTAGCCTTGAATTTGAAATTATGATACAGCAGTTACTTTATGATGAATTCAGGCTTTAACATCTCGTTGTTAATTTAGAGGCTAAGGTCACCTTATATCTCAGTTCAACAAAATGCCATGCTTGTGGTAGATTGTTAGTTCTTCTTTTAAAAATCGGAAATAAGAAATGTAACTACCTGCTGTTCCTGATAAGTTAGCATCTCCGTATGAACTGCTTATGCAGCTGGAGAATGAAAGGGAGTCCATAGTGTCACTTCAGCAGTTACAGCACAGTATGTGTCCTTCTAAGGAGCTGTCTACCTGTATCCTGTTCTTCAGGAGTGTGATTTCAGATCAGAGATAAAACAACTCTTTACTCTGCAGCCGTAATCAGCAGAGCATGGGGAATTTATCCTCTGGGGCAGAGTTTTGAGGGGCCAAGGTTTTGTCCTGAAGATGCTTGCTGAATGGACGCATTTTGCACATTTTTAGATCTTGCTCCCCCTTCCCCCCAATCTGTTAAATGAGGAGGGTGTGAGGATCTGATGCTGTGGCATGTGTGGCATTCCAACACCCACAGACCCAAATTACACTCTATCTGCCCACAGCCTTCTGGGCAGTCATCAGGAAGCTTTGAGGAGACTCTTCTCCATTTTCTGATGGCCTATCCCTGGAGAGAGTTGCATGCAGGTATCATGCAGATACTTTGGACCTTTACTGACAGTATTACTATTCCCAAACTATGCCTTTAAATATGCCCATCATGTAAATTCACTTGCTATCAGCAGCTAAAGAAAAGGGAGGAAGAAAGAAAAGGAAGTGGTAAACTGATGTTACAAAAACAACATTTAACCTGTCTCATTATACATCCCTTACTAGTCTTTTGGAACCTCACAAAGAAAAAATTGTTCCCTTGAATACTCTGAATGGGGGGTCAATTAGCAATGGCCATCCACAGATCCCTGTGGCTTTAGTGAACAAAGATCTGTATTTGGAATAATGTATGTCATCATAATGACCCCTAAAAATATTCCTGAGAGTAGCACAAATATATTGTCCTGTGAGCACACATCTCCAACACTAACATATCAGAGGTGTGAACTAGAGGCCATATTGCGTCTGTAAGCAAGCCTATACTTTGTGTGGAGGTAGTACCAACACTTATTGCATGGGATTTCATCAAACATAAGACGGACAGACTGGAGAGCACAAAAAGAAAGTCATGTTGAATTCTTAGATAATCATTGCCTCTTATTTAGAAACAAATACCTGAACTAAATCTGTCAATAGTGTTATTGGAGTTGTAAGGTGAGAGTGGCACATGGGAAGAGAGGAAATCATGTTTAGAAATTCAAAATTCTGAGATATTCTTGGAAAAAATTTATTACAGACAATTTAGAGAAAGCAAAACTATGATCCCCCCGAGAGCACTAGTCAGTGTCCTCAGTGATGGCATACATTACAGGGCTCAAAAGATAAGGGACCGATGTTCTTACTTTGAAGGATAAGGGATTGATGTTCTCACTCCAACTGAAGACAGTTCAGGAAAAATTCTAGCTCTGTCTCACATTTTTAACCATTTTTTTTTGAGTCGAGTTTTATGAAAGAGGTGATAGAATTCAGGCTCTTGCCAAAGGAAGCTTGGGCTGCCATGACACTCTGCAGGGATATCAGGTACCTGCAGGTACCCGGCAGGGCCTTAGGGATGTGGGAAGATAATACTCTTTCAAGGTGTAGCAGTTCTTATGTTCTTATGAGCATCTGAATATTTAAATATTGATGCTCTTAGATCCCGGGTTGGCATCCTATAACCTGTAGGCCAAATGTGGCCACAGCCTGTTTTTGTAACTAAAAAAAATTTTTGGAGTACAGTCACACCCATTTGCTTAGTATTTTTTAGGACTAAACAATCATTTTCTTGCCAAAAGGGCTGAATTGAGTTGTGGCAGAGACTGCCTGGCCCTCAAAGTCTTAACTATTTACAGAATGGCCTTTTATAGACAAAATTTTGCCGGTCCCTACCCTACGTGATATGAGGATTTAGTCTTTGATTTAAGCATGACAGACTTTCAAAAACTATATTCTAGCTTCACACAAAATCCATATTGAAGAAAATAAAGGAACTTTTAAAACACCAAGTGAAGTTTGTCATTACATCAAGGGCTAAGAAATAGAACCATGAGACACATCACTCTTTTGACCATGCAATTCAATATATCTCATACAGCAGCATAGACACGCCATTGATATTACACTTGAGCAATGATTACCAAATTTTCTCCTAGGAAACACACCAAAGAACACCTTAGTAAGTGACCGGGAACCACCAAAGCAGCCCATTTATTAAGCACCTTCAGTAGCTGTTAAAGACACTGGAAAAGAAGGATATCCCCAGTTTCCATTTTCATCTCCTTACATATTAAGCTTTTTCTTGCATTAATGAGCATCACAAAGGTGCACATTTGCATTTCTGATTGAGGGTAAAATGCAATGAGGACATTTAATCAAAACAACTTAGGAGACTAATTAATGCAATCAGCATTAGGTCGTGCAAATATTGTCATTGAATGCCATCGTGTAAAGCTGGTGACAGTGATTTGGGCAGTTGGAAGATTTATCAGGATAAAACCAAGAGAGAAGAGACAGAAACTGAATGCCAACCTCAGAGTTTCATTATTCTTTGCATGTTTAGCTTTTCTTATGAGTCATTTAATAACCCTATCAAAACTATTTTATTTGGGTAAAATTATTAATATACTGCATTCTGTCCAGGCCCCAGGAGGGTCTCATTTCTGGACAGTGCTGTGCCAGGGTAATATTACAATGGGTAGTGGGGTTGCATGATACCCGATTTTGCCAGTGGAAAGGAGTGGTGAAAGATAAATCATTTCTTTCTGGCATCAAGGATACCAAAAAGCACAGTAATTTGTTAGACATGATTCTAGCATCCTGAAAAAGAAGATTCATAAAGACAAGGCAACACTATTTTTTACATCTCGGTGGCATTATGCTCATTATTTCACTTCTTGAGTATTTTTAGGCCATCAGCCATCATAGTACTTGGTCAAGCTCAACAATATTTTATTTTGACCTCATCTAATAATATGGGTGTGTAGTTTAATAGTCATGAAAATTAAAACCAACCAATTGACTTAGGACATAAAATAAGTTGTATGGGGACAAAGAAAATATTTCAACCAAATGAATTTCGACACTCTAGCACTACAAGGCTACTAATCCAATAGGCTGTGTTAAGGCAACGTTATAACCATGAAATCTGTAAGGAATCTGGTGAATTTTATAGTGTCTAAAATCTTTTTCATGTACATGAAACATGTTTACATGTACATTGTTATGCACTTTTAATAGTTTTATGTTTTTTAAAGTGATGAGTGTGATGTAATTGCTATGGACTCAGGACTACTTTCTATTGCCAACAAAATTGTGTGTGTGCACATGTGCATGTTTATTGTAAAGTCAGCCCCTTGGCATATATCTTAAAGGATACATATATGAGGCTTGACTATGTTAAAAACCTACATTATATGAAAAAGACTGGCTATAAAAAATATTTCCTGAACTTCGAATATTTCTGAAACATTGGTGATGCAAATATTTAAATATATTTAACTATACACTGTGCTTATTATTGATAATTTTACCTAAATCTAACCAAACATCAAGCGAGTCCAAAATTTCTCTGGCATGATAGATAAAAGATTATTGAATTTTAAGCCATGCACACTTGACTAATGGCTTTCTAAAGTGATAAAGTTACAATAATTGCCTTCTAGAGGTGAGTGAACTTGGAAATTGGCACTCAGTAAATGTCCCACAAATATACAACAGTGCTCTTGAATCCCATATCCCAGTCCTTCACACCATGGCTTCAATGCTCAGTCCCACTCACCATTGTAGTTTCTGCTATTGACCCAAAGCTGTTGATAAATATGTTGCAGGTAACATTTACAGGAGGCCCTGCAAGTTGAACAATAAATAGAAAATTTGACAGGTTGTGTTCATGGCATAATCAAGTCAAGTTTTTCTCTTGCCAGTGGCATAGTAGCACTTACCATGGTGGTTTCTGTGACTGATCCAAAACTGTTGATAAAAATATTGCAAGTAACGTTTACTGGAGGACCTGCAGAATGCAATAAGAATATTGCAATAGACATTGAAGCAAAAATACAGCTTCATCAACATCTGTGCAAATGATGAGAGATGTAAGTAAAATTAAAATGATGGTGAGATTGCAAAAAATACTTTTTACCCAGAGGCTTATAGTGATGATATGCCCACTGGTATTTCAAATAATAACAGTTAAGCAATGATAACTTACCCTGACGAGTTTTGAACTTGGAAAATATAAGCTGAAGACTAGTCAACTGAATTCATTGTCAATAGTTGCTATCAAAATAGTCCTTTGAGTGGGTGGATTTCTTTGACTGTAGGCTCAACAACACTGTAGATGCCAACAGTGTGCACCCATGGTGATAAAATAGCCTAGGTCATGAATTTAAATGGAGCTGAAGTTTGAGCTGTGGGTGAGTCAGGGACATTCACCTCCTATCTCATAACACCCTTTAAATCAATAGTCTAGTTTGATTCTCTTCATACCTCTGAATTTACCCTATAATTTTTTGACAATGAAAAATGATGTACAGAAATACAAAAACAAAAAATTAGCTCATTTTAAGAAGAAAACACAGATGTTTAATTAATGTCCAGAGTGTTGCCTCAGTAAATATAATGTAAAGCAAGAGCTATTAACGTAGATTTGCTTTGAACAGAAAGCCTATTTTTTTCTCCAGACACCAGGGACTAGCTGTTTTTCTCCTTGCCCTTTGGCTTCCATTCAAGCACTAACCAGGCCAGATTCTGCTTAGCTTCAGGGATCAGATGAGATGAGGTGTGTTCAGGGGCGTGTGGCTGCAGATTCTTTGCTCTTTGATGGTAGATAAATCACTCTCTGATGATTTTCAGTTTCATGTTGTGCTGGGGAATATGTTCATCACCCTCATGTAGTTTCCCCTGGATGTTTTCTGAGATAAGAATATACTATGAATGATCTTTGCTTTACCCAGTGGAAGTTTGTCTACCTTCACCCAAAAAAGGCTCAGCAACTTGGTATAAGCTACACCCAGTTGAGTCTCTGTGCCTGGCAAGCTGGTAGGATCTGAATGAGGAGGAGTTTGGCTCGAGGCTTCCCTCGGAAGTCAGCAGGAAAACACAGCTATAGCAGCACTTGAGCACCGTGTCTTTCAACTCTACAAGTCCGCATTGGGTTCTCAAGATGAGGAAAGGAGACTGGGCCTAAACAGCTCATTTAAATCTCCAGGCAATGACTTTTGGTGAAAGAAGGAGTAAAGAGTTTCGGTAAAAGAGATGTGTTATGCTGTTTTTCTTTTTAGTATCATTAACTTTTATGATAAATGTGTTTATTTAGAAAAAAAATGTGTGCAGACATGGCATCACGGCATGACCATGTTACTGAAAGATGTTTCAGCCTCCAAGTCCTGTAATGCCTCTCATTTCCGCATCTGACTTCTCCATGGTCACTTCCTACTCTGCCTGATTTCATTTGGGTTTTTTTGGTTACTCAAAACAAAAAAATGAGTCTCTTTCTTTGCCATAAAATTCTATTCTATAACCATTATTTTCTCTGCTAGTAAGAAAAAAATTATACAAGGTGGAATCAAATTATGAGAAATTGTTTATGGGTTTTTTTGTTCTTTTTACAATAAAATACTTTCTTTTAGATAGTCCAATTCAGGATGGAAAACTTTCGTGAATTTTTATATGCAGATATACAGAAAATGAATGATGGAGAAAAGGAACAGGGAAAAGAGAAATAACAAGAGGGTCGTCTTGTACCATACAGTATCTGTTTATCTGACCTCCCCAAATGACTTCGAAGCATCTAGAATGTTGGGTCATACCATCATACATTCATTTTTATCCTTCCCAGTAAATGGCAGTGTGAGTATATTGCTGGAACTCAAAATATTTTTAAAGCTACCATGTATTGATGCACTGTACTAAGCATATTAAAAAATTATCTAGTTTAATACTTATAAAAGAGGAATTGTTTTACTGCTCCAGTGAATGTTTTCAAATGAGGGAACAGTGGGTTAGAGGGGTTAAGTAACTTGTTTAAACTGATGCCACAGTAATTAGAAAAGCAGAAACTCAGTGTCTCATCATTCTGATCCCCTAGACTTAAACTTTCAACTGCTTTGCTGCACTGCATTCATTACACAGTATCTTCTCTCCCCTCTGAACCACCAACCATGGTATTTTCCCATTGGTCTGTACATTCCTGGGATAATATTATTCTTAACATCTTACCTCTTCAATCTTGGGCATTGTTTTAAGGTTAATTTGCATTTAGATATAAAACCAAGAGAAAAAATTAAGTTTTTTTGATGAGGTATTAGCACATGCATGTAATAAGAGCTGACGTATGAAAACCTCACTGTGTGCCAGTAAGTGCCTTATTTCATTCTTCAGTATTTTGATGCTACCATGCCTCCCACCTAATAGATAAGGAAAATGAGGCACAAAGGAGGTCACAGAGTTTGAAAGAGGCAGAAATTGCCTAATGTTAGGGACACTTTTTTTTTTAACTACAGGGATGAAACATCTGAAGCCAATAAAATGACCATATTTTGCTGTGTACAATGTGCTCCTGTGTATAATATGCAGCCTCGTTTTGGGCCCAAACTTTCAGGAAAAAATCTTTTGTTTAAATTTTTTAATTCAATTATTTGCTTATTTATATTTACATAGTTGTTTTTTTTGTATTATAAAGGAATTTTCGCATTCACTTTTGAGTTTATTATTGTACAAGAAATTTTATGTAACAAATAATTACAAAACACAAGAACAGATACAAGGTAATTTCAGGTACTACCCATGTATAATGCACATCCTTATTTTCCCTCAAAAATTTGGGCAAAAAAGTGCACATTATACATGGCGAAATATGGTATCCCAAAGATGGAAGCTACAAATCTTTCACCTCTTTAGTTTATTCTTAGGTATTTTATACTTTTAGATGCTATTGTAAATGGAATTTTTCTTAATCTCTTTTTCAGATTGTTCATTGCAGTTGTGTAGAAACACAACTGATTTTTGTGTGTTGATGTATGCTGCTATTTTGCTAAATTCACTTATTAGCTGTAGTATTTTTCTTTTGGATTATTTGGGGTGTAAAATACAGAGGACCATGTCATCTGTAAATATAGTTTTACTTCTTCCTTTCAAATTTGGATGCTTTTTCTTTTTCTTGTATAATTGCTCTGGATAAAACTTCCGATAACAATGTTGAGTAGCAGTAGTGAAAGCAGGCATCCTTATCTTGTTTCTGTTCTTAGGAAGAAAGCTTTAGTCTTTTGTCATTGAGTATGCTCTCTGTAGATGGCATATAGTTGGATCATGTTATTAGCTTTGAATTTTTCATAAATGCTCTTTATCATGTTAAAGAAGTTTTCTACTATTTCTAGTTTTATTTTTTCTATTGTGAAAGGGTATTGGATTTTATCAACTGCTTTCCTGCATCTGTTGAGATGATCATGTGCTATCTTTCCTTCATTCTATTACTGTTGGGTGTTACTTTGATTTTATTATATTGAACTGCCTTTGCATTCCTGGGATAAATTCCATTTGGTCACAGTGTGTAATTCTTTTATTGTGCTGCTGGATTTGTTTTGCTAACATTTTGTTGAGGACTTTTGCATCTATATTTATAAAGGATATTGGCCTGTGATTTTTCCTGTGATGTTTTTGTCTGGCTTTGATATCAGAATAATGTTGGCCTCATTGAATGAGTTAGGAACTATTCTTTCCTCTTTTATTTCTTGGAAAAGTTTGAGAAGGATTTGTGGTAATTTTCATTTCAGTGTTTGGAAAAATTCACCAGTGAAGCCATCGGGTCCTGAACTTTTCTTTGTTCCAGGGTTTTTGATTACTCATTCCATCTCTTGCTCCAGGTCTGTTGAAATTTCCTATTTCTTGTTTTGTCAATTTAGGTAATTTGTGTGTGTCTAGGTATTTGTTAATTTCATCTAGGTTATCTAATTTGTTTATAGTCTTATTTTATAATTCTTTTTATTTTCTGTAAGATCAGTAGTAATGCCTCCACTTTCATTCCTGATTTCAGTTGAGTCTTTTTTTCTCTGTTAGTCTAGCTAAAGGTTTGTAATTCTTTCATCCTCTAAAAGAATCAACTTTTGGTTTTGTTGATTCTCTAATTACCTTTCTATTTTTATTTTTCTCCACTTTAACCTTTATTATTTACTTTCTCTGAGAACTTTGGATTTAGTTTTCTCTTATTTTACTAGTGCCTCAAATTGTAATAGTAGTTTATTGATTTGAGATCTTTCTTTTTTTTTAATGCAGACATTTACAGTTTAAATTTTGCTCTGAACACTGCATTTACTGCATCCCATAAGTATGTTGTATTTTTGTTTTTATTCATCTCTAATTCCCTTGTAATTTCTTCTTTGACCAATTGGTTATTTAAGAGTGTGTTAATTTCCAAATATTTGAATTTTCTGGTTTTCCTTTTATTGTTGATTTTTACCTTCTTTCTACTGTGCTTGGAAAAGATACTTTTTATGATTTTAATCTTTTAAAATTTATTAATATTTGGCTTGTAGCCCAATAGATGGTCTAGTCTGTTCCATGTGCACTTGAGAAGAATGTGTATTCTGCTGTTGTTGGGCAGAAGATTCTATATATGGTTTGTTAGGTCTGGTGATTTATATTATTGTTCATGCCCTCTGTTTTCTTAATGATCTCTATAGATGTTCTATTATTCATTATTGAAAATGGTGTATTAAAGTTTTCAGCTATTATTGTTGAAGTGTTATTTCTCCCATCAATTCTGTCAAGGTTTGCTTCATGTATCTTGGGCCTTTGTTGTTTGGTGTATATACTTTTAGAATGGTTATATCATCTTGGTGATTTGACCATTTTATCAATATATATCATTCTTTGTCTCTTTTAAGAGATTTCTGCCTTTTAGATATTTTCCTTTATTGAAAAGTGGACACATACTATCTGGTTTGCTTTTTCAGTTAATGTGGGTGATTGACCCATAGTATACATCCATCTGCCCTCGCTTGTGTTGAAGACAGA